GAAATATGGCATGTTGACCTTCACTTAGGGATTTTTTTTTTTTTTTTACAGCAGAGCTGAGCACACACTGGATACATTTGAATGTGTTTATTTAATTTCTTATGAATGTTGCATTTGGCAGGCAGATCCAGAATGACTAGAGAACTGCCAACTTGTTTGGATTGGCTTAAACTTAATTTAGATTCCATTCCTTAATTGATTGGCCAGTATGAAGAGATGCCAATGCTCATAACTACAGTATCAGAAAACTTAGTTATACAAAGGTATAGTTCACACATCAGGAACTGTTATTTACTGTAAACAACCTGCAAGAAAGTTAGAAACAATGAAATTCACAATAACTGTCTGCTAAGAACTCTATATAAAGAATTCCATTCTGTTTTACCAATTGGGAACACCTTAATGTTTAATATTTAAACTGGTGGTGTCATTTTTCTAATGTATAAATTGTGTTACCAGGATAAAATACATACAGTGGTGATGCTAGCGTTTAAACAAGTTTTGGAAACACCACTTTCATATTTTGAGATGCCATGGATATAATAAGTAGTTATTTATGTTTTAAAAATTCACAGTAGTTAAAAGAAATTAACAGTAGTTAACCTCTGCTCTAAAACCATCAAACATTTTTTACAGTAATTCACATACAAATATTTCAGTAATGTAAATTGTTTGAAAAGATTGCTTCAGGTAAACTATTAACTTTTAAGATCTTGGTCAAATAATTTACAGTCCAGAATATTTAAGGAGGTGCTTTTTTCTTTCTTTAAAACTTTATTTTCCTTAATTAAAGACTTTATTCATGCCAAAGTTAATAAGGAAAAAAGTTCAAAACTACCAATAGTCTGTTTTTTTCATTTAATATTAAGTTGAATAAAGTAAATTTTATTCCTGTCAGAGCCTGAATCACATTTTGAATGTCTGCATGTCTGATACTCTTTTTAAATAGTATCATGCTAGTGCCAAGATTTATTAAATGTCTTAAAATTGGCCTATTGGTCCCATGCAAATTTAAAGAAGATTGAGTCAGGGCATAAGCAAAATGTAGTGACAGAAATTAAAATATCTCCAGCTAAAATAAATCTCGATGTTTTTAAATTCTCAAGAGAACTCAATAATTAATATTGATGACTTTCTATTTAAAACTTTATGTGCAACTGGAGAGCCCAATGACCACTGCTCTGAAAGTAAATAGTTTGTTGTATCTGGGCCCTAACAACTATGGAGATATTATATATGTGATCTTAATTAAGAAAAACAGATTGGATCAACGAATCATTTCAGCAGTGTCAATAATTTTTCATATTTTCAAAGGAAAAACTTTCCTTTATTCCTGGTCCCTTTATGAATCAGCCTCTTTTGCTAAAAAGATGAACTAGCTTGTATTAAGTCTTATATTAGGGAAAACGTTTTGTTCCATTTTACTTTTATGAATGAAAAGATTATTGACATGGTTAATTCTTGAATTTTGACTTTTTTTTAATTTGAAGAAAATCTTTGCTATTTTTTTTCCAAAATGTTGACATTTTAAGAATTGATGCTAGTAACATAATTTCTAAATTTACAGTAATGGGCATGTTGAATTAACAATAGTGTATCAGTAAATATTTTAATTAAAACTATGGATTCACAGACAAGGAATGGGAAGCAATAGTGAAATATATGTGAAAATTCCTAATTCGTTTAGGAAGCACTTCACCTGTTTCTTGCATAGATCAAAGGCGAATGTCTCCAGGAACTTTTTAAAATTTTTTTTTAAAGAGAAAAATGTACATTTGAATGTGAAAAATTAATTTCTACAACACTGGACTACTAGAAAGAACTTTGTAAAAATTACTATTCTGTATAAACTATTTGAAATTCAAGTACGAAAAACACCTGAAAGAGCATTGTCTTTTGGCCGTGACACCAGTGCTCTGTGGCAGTGCCATTTGCTCAGGACCCAACTCTGCAGCCCTCTCCGTGTGTGCCCCCCTCCAAGTTCTGTTGCGGTTACTACACACACAGGCCTTCCTGTCTGGTCCGTAGAAAAGCCGGGCTTCCAAAGCACTGTTGAACACTGAGGATTCTATTGTTAATGTGGATGTTCCATAAGTTGTATTTTAAATATCAAAGATTATTAAATAAAGATAATGTTTGCTTTTTTATTTCTGTTTTTATTTGAATTGACTGTTAATTCCTCGCTTTGCTACGCAAAGGATGGTGGGAAGACCAGCAGCCTCTGCAACCACCTGAGAGCTTTTCAGAAATGCTCCAGAGGTTCAGGGCACACCTACTGGCTCGGGACCTGCATTTTTAACAAGACCCCCAGGGAATTCACATGCAGATTCAAGTTTGAGAGGCATGGCTTTATGGGCTGCAAGTGATGAGTAAAATAGGCGGGGGCATTGATAACTCCCTTCGAGCTTACGGCTGCCCAAGGACCCATTATTACTGGAAGCTCTCATCTTTTTTCTCAGAGACACTAAGTCCAAATTTTTACTTGAAATTTGATTTTTTTTAAAGATTTTATTTATTTGAGAGAGAGAATGAGAGACAGCACAAGAGGGAAGAGGGTCAGAGGGAGAAGCAGACTCCCTGCTGAGCAGGAAGCCCGATGTGGGACTCGATCCCGGGACTCCAGGATCATGACCTGAGCCGAAGGCAGTTGCTTAACCAACTGAGCCACCTAGGCGCCCAATAAAATCTTTTAAAAAAATGATGTAAAGGCATGTAATTTTGTTTGTTTTCTTCATTAATTTCAGTATCTTTATGGCATGACATGAATTTATAGGATGGTGCTCCAGAGAATTTACAGCTGTAGGCAATAAAAGCTTGATTTACACTAGCTAAACTTTTCACTATGGTCCAGAAACCCAGTTAGGTCCCACGTTTATGTGACTCCTCTGTTCAAAGCAGTTTTCCCCTCTGCTAATAGTGCTCCATCCTACTCAGTAAAAGCCACAGCCCTTACAATATGGCCTACCAGGCCCTATGTGATCTGTGCCCTCCCACTCTTTTTGTCCTCATCACTTAATCACCCTTCCTCACCCCACTCTGCTCCAGCCATCCCTGCCTTTTTGCTAATCCTCTAACCTGCCAAGGACCCTCCTGCTTCAGGACCTTTGCAGCAGCTGTTTCTTTCTGCCTGTACTGCTCTTTTCCATATATACCCACATATCTCACTTTTTTCCCCCTAAGCAAGCGCTAGACCCAATGTGGAGCTTAAACTCACAACCTTGAGATCAAGAGTCACATGCTCCACCAACTGAGCCAGCCAGGTGCCCTGACATATCTCATTCTCTTAATTCCTTCAAGTATCTGTTCAAGTATCACCTTACCAGTGAGGCCTTCCCTGACTACCTTCTATAACAAGTGCCCTCTCCTATCTTTTCCATATGATCCTGACCCTGTGTTTTTTTCCTCCAAGCAGTCATCACTACTTGTCTATATTTATTACACTTTATTTATCATCTGTCCCTTCCCAGTAGAATGCAAGTTCCATGAGACCAGGGACTACATGTTTTTTTTTCTCCTGCTATACTCCCAATGCCCAGAATAACGGTAGACACATCAACTTGCAGGTCATCTGTATGCCACATTTTTGAAACTTTACAAACACTTAAATAGAACTCACCAGGTACCAGGCACTGTTCCAAGCACTTAAAAATATTACCCTATTTAATCCTCCTAACGACCCCACCCAGTAGACATTATTATCATTTTACGTTTTACAAAAAAGAAACTGATGCACAGAGAGGTTAAGTAACCCACCCAAGGTCGTACAGCTAATAAGTAACAGCTCCAGGCAGTCAGGGCCTGGAGTCTGCACATCTAACCCTTGGGCACTGATGTCTTACAAATAAAACATTTAATAAACACTTCCAGAATGGGATGCAATTTTCTTTTTAAAAGCATTCAGATTTCACGGAGAGCTGCTATTGCCTGGTGCCATCAGATTTTAAACAGTGGAGGCATTCCCAATGTTCCAGTCACAAATAGTGTAATTTGCGGTGACCCCTCCTGTAAACAAAATCAAAGAGAAAGAGGCCAGTATATTTAGTGCTATGCTTAAAAGGACTGCAGACCTATTCTTTTTATTTAAAGCAAAAAACGTGATAGTCTCTCTGGCCGGGTAATGCATTCCCAGACCATTGCAGCAAGTACTTGTAAGTCACGGGACCTTTCTTCCTCTCAAGCAAGGAAGGACACTTCTGCTGTGTGCACCCACTCGTGTAACAGGACTGGGAGAGGGGTGGGCACTTGCACAGTTAGTGCCACCAACACCATAGGAGAGTTTCTGTTAGAACAGCATTTCTTCGTAATAAGTTGTTCTGCTGTCCTTTACTGTTTTTTTTTTTTTTTTTTTTAAGGTGGTCTATGCTTTAACTTCATGGGTTATATCGGCTTCATGAACAAAGCTCTTGGTATATTAGAGAAGGCAGGGTTTCAACTATGAGCTGTAAAGCTACCAGGAAAAATACTACAGAAAGTAACCAACGTGTGTTTCCTGCCTGGACACGAGTTTGCAGCCCATCCTTTCTGTGTATCCCGAGCTCCTACCGTAGTGTTGGGCACAGAGCAGCCCGACAGGCTGTTGCAGAATCAACACCGTAACCGTGTTAAGTAAAACCGCTTGCTGCGCAGTGCAGCGACCCTGCCAAGTGCCCTTGCACCGCTGGCTGCGTGTAGTCAGAATTAAACACTCAGGTTTCACCGACACCGTGAGGGTTCAGGGGCTTCCCGGGCCACGCCGGCTTCCAGAGGCACCCACTGACGAACGGCTCTGCCCAAAGGGCAGGTGCAGCGGGCGGGAACCGCCGCGTCACCCCTGGCTCTGGAGACCGCTCCCTCAAAGGCCAAAGCCGGCGCGCTACGTGGAGGCTGACCTTGCTCCTGCGCCGGAGGTATGCGGCCCCAGGCCGCCGCTCTCGGTCCTCCGCGATCCCATGCTCCCTTGCGCCAAGGACACGTCCGGCCGCTCCGCAGAGCCCTTCTACGCCAGCGCGGCGCCTCTCTATGATCCGTCGCCGCGTTCAGAGTGGGTGTCATGGCGGCCGGCGTCGAGTTGGCAGGAGTTACCCTCGGAACTGGGGAAAGTCACTAAAGCAGGGGAAGAAGTGGCCCAACCTGGACGTTGGGAAGTCGTGGGAATGAGCAGAGGCCTCGCGGGGTTGACAGTGGCACTGGAGGCGGGCCCCTAGTAATGTCCCAGGTCAGGCCTCTGCGTTTCTAGGCAGAGTCCGGCGGTTGGTGGGAGCCCCCCGAAGCCGGCGTTGCCTAGGAACCCCATTGTGTTACCCAATCTTGAGTGTTTTGATTTGGACTGGTTCCGTGAAGGCAGCGGTTCGAGGACCTTTGGCGGGATCGTCCGACGACGCTGGACGATTTTCTCGGAGCGGACCATATCGTTCTCTAAACCGCAGCGATGTCGTCCTGGCTTGGGGGCCTCGGCTCCGGCTTGGGCCAGTCTCTCGGTCAAGTCGGAGGCAGCCTGGCTTCCCTCACTGACCAGATTTCAAACTTTACAAAGGATATGCTGATGGAGGGCACGGAGGAAGTGGAAGGTAACAGCTGGAGCGATGGGAGGGAGTGCTTTTCTGGGACCCTGGGAGCGCCCGATCGGTTCCCACTTACGTCCGTCGGGAGTGTCAGTCCTCCCTTTTTTCGTTATACTTCTTTGGCCTCTTCTTAACAGATTTTCTCTGATGAAAGACACTGGGGTCCGGGGAAGAGTTCTAGTTCTTTTTCCATTGAATACTGTGGGTATCTCAGAATGGAGGGAAACTGCTCCTACATCGAGTAGTTTATTTTTGTTTGGTTCTTCCACGCCCACCGCTTACTTTGCCTTTAGCTTGGGGGCGGATTTGATTTTGATCCTTTGCCTTTATACTGACACAATTAAAAAGTATCTGTGCATGACACAGTTACTTTTTTGCTTCGAGTTTTGTAACAATTGAAACAGCTCATTAAAATATTTAGTAAATCTTAAGCCCTTTCTGACTTGAATATATTGTTAAACATGGCTATAAGTTTTTCCTATTATGTTTTTGCTTATTCTGGTGACACAGCGTTCCAGCTGAAATGTATTTTTGTGCCTAATTGCCCATTCTACCCACATTTCGACAATAAAACAAGGAAGATACAATACCAATCCATAGCAACTTTCACTCATTTTTGAAGTCCTTGTTTTGTTTTACTAATGAATAGTGACCCAGAGTTACATAGTAATAGTTACGTTAATATTTTGATTTCTTGACATTTCTTTCCGCAAGTAGTATTTAGATCTAAAGAGTTCTTTTTAATTAATTAAAGAGTACTTTAATTTCTTTTTTTTTTTTTAAAGATTTTATTTATTTGACAGAGAGACAGCGAGAAAGGGAACACAAGCAGGGGGAGTCGGAGAGGGAGAAGCAGCCTTCCCGCGGAGCAGGGAGCCCGATGCGGGGCTTGATCCCAGGACCCTGGGATCATGATCTGAGCCGAAGGCAGACACTTAACGACTGAGCCACCCAGGCGCCCCAAGAGTACTTTAATTTCAGTGGAAGTGTGCCTCCCCAGAGACGATGGGCTGGTCTTTTGGATGAGAGAGCACTTCCTTGGATAATTTTATTTCTCATAAATTAATTAGCATTCTGGTTTAATTTTTTTATCCTGATATAATTGAAATTTCCAGTTTATTGGGTTGAAGTAGAGAAACACAGTTTGAGAAAAAAAGTATATTTAGATTTCTGTCTTTAGAAAGGAGAAGCATTGGAGAGCTGCTGAAATCCATTTTACTGCTTGGAGTACATCTTGAGTGGGAGTTGCATTAGGTGGGACAGGTTGGGGATGAGAGTGAAAGGGATTCTCCCTCCCTGTGTTCGGTAAAGGATCATGTGACCTTGAAATTTAGAACAGAAAAGAGCTGGATGACATGGGAAATGACTAGTCTCTCCTTGTAGCCTAGGTAGGGGAAAACATTTGGCTATTCCTAGAAAATATGATGCCCCCCCCCACCTGACTGTCCTATGGGCTTAAGGTGGAATGCATTTGTTCTTCCTGTCAAATGTACTCCTGTATTCTCATTCTTAATGGTTTCATCATCTCCCCAATCTACTGAACTAGAAATCGTTGTCACCTTTGTTTTGCCTCCTTTCCATTTCCTATTCCAGTTGGTCACCAAATCTTGTTCATTCTCTGCCAGAATTGTTTCTTATATTCGTCCTTTCCTTTTTTACCCGTTTCCTTTAGTTCAGAACCCCCGCTCCCATGCACTTTCTCCTTCCTATCCTGTCACCCATTTCTCCGTACTCCATTTCCATTTTCTGTGTGCTGCCAGTTTTCTAAAACATAGGTGCTTTAAAATCTTTTAGCTCTGTTCCTTACAGGATAAAATCCAAACCTCTTAGTTTTGGGAGACCAGAAACCTATCCTGAGGTCAACCTCCCTTTTCTAGTCTTACCTCTTATTACCTCCTCTTCTCTCCAAATTGCCATACATATGCATGTTCACACATACATGCGCTTGCACCCAGAGCTTTTGCCACATGGAACTTTGAGAAGTCCCTACACAACTCCAAGCCTCTGCATGGAAAGGCCTTCCTTTTCTACTTCCTCCTCTACCCTTCTTTGCTTGGAAAACAGTTTTTTCCTGTATGACTTTGCTCGCGTGCCAGGTACTTGGTGAAACCATTCTCAGTCCATGGCAGGCTGAGTTGATTGCATGTGATCTTGTGGATCTCTCTTTGAGAGCACTTACCATGTTGAGTTATAATTTACCTCTTTTCTTGATGCCCAGGGTAGGGACTATATATTTTTTTTATCCTTATATTACCAGTGTTTGGCACCTTCCTTGGTACCTAGTAGATGCTAAGTAAAAAAATTGCTGAGTATTAAAAATCTGCAAAGTTGCTTAATGCTTTTATTATTTCCCTTTCTATCAAAATGGGACTTGCTTAACACCTAATTTATTGATTTTATAAATCACTTAAAGGGTCAGAGTACAGTTCATTTATTCATTTAACAGGTATTTATTGAGCGTCTACCCTGTGCCAGCAGTGAACAAGATAACAGTTTCAAAATAGCACTGTTGGTACAGCTTGAAGTACATATTTGTACATACCAGAAAGTTGCTGTTGTACCAAAACTGTACTGATTTATTCAGGTTAGGAACTTGGGCTTTTCAATTAGACATGGGTTGAAATTCCACTTCCATGCATTATAGATTGTGGGTCTTTGGCAAATTTTTAAATACTTAACCTCATAAAGCAGAGTTTCCTTATCTGTTAAATAGATGTAATCATACCTATCATGGGGTTGGGAGGATTAAATGAAATCATGAGTGTAAAATGCCTAGCAGATGGTAAGCATTAATAAAGAGTAGCTGTTGTTTTTGTTTTCCCTCAGCGAGGAAGAATTTTTTTGGTCTGCATAATATCTCCCCTTTATTCTTAAAAAGACCAGGTTTTTTGTTTTTTGCGGGGGGGGGGGTTTGGAGGGAGGTAAGAGAGGAGGGCTGCATAAACCTATTTTTATCCCTCTTTGAAACAATTTCTGCTTCTAACAATGACCCTCCTAAACAGACTACATTATAATTTGTTCTCTTCTGAGTAGCAATTAGACAATCCTGTCAGAGTTCAAGCAAGAAGTATAAACAACCACAGAAGCACCTGCACCTGGTGATTTTCAAAACAAGAAAAGTGGGTTTGTCACTTTTCTTTATTGGATGTCACTTGTATTTTCTTTTGATTTAAACTGTAAATCAGAGAAGTTCTTTTTTTTCCTCAGAGAAGTTATTTCTATGGTATTAAAGTGCTGTGACTAATGAAAAATACCAGCACCTAGAAAAAAAATCTTAACTGATGATGATGTTCTGGTTGCATCAACAGTGCCATTTTGACAGAGCTGACCTCTGACTCTGTTTTTTGTTTTTGTTTTTTTTTAGTTTTTAAAATAATTATTTTTGAAGATTTTATTATTTGACAGAGAGAGACATAGCGAGAGAGGGAACACAAGCAGGGGGAGCGGGAGAGGGAGAAGCAGGCTTCCCGCGGAGCAGGGAGCCCAATGCAGGGCTCGATCCCAGGACCCTGGGATCATGACCTGAGCCGAAGGCAGATGCCCTATGACTGAGCCACCCAGGCGCCCCACAAAAATTATTATTTTTTTTAAGTAAACTCTGCACCCAGTGTGGGGCTTGAACTCACGACCCCGAGATCAAGAGTTGCACGCTCCACTGGCTGAGCCAGCCGGGTGCCCTGCCTCTGACTCTCCTTTTATTTTCATTTATTTTTTTTAAAGATTTTATTTATTTATTTGACGGAGGGAGGCACAGCGAGAGAGGGAACACAGCAGGGGAAGTGGGAGAGGGAGAAGCAGGTTCCCGCAGAGCAGGGAGCCCGACGTGGGGCTCGACGTGGGGCTCAATCCCAGGACCTTGGGATCATGACCTGAGCCAAAGGAGGCAGATGCTTAATGACTAAGCCACCCAGGCACCCTCTGACTCTCTTTTTATTTTTTAATAGTTTTTTTTTTTAAGATTTATTTATTTATTTGAGAGAGAGAATGAGAGAGAGAGAGCAGGAGAGGGGGGAAGGTCAGAGGGAGAAGCAGACTCCCCGCTGAGCAGGGAGCCCGATGCGGGACTCGATCCCGGGACTCCAGGATCATGACCTCAGCTGAAGGCAGTTGCTTACCCAACTGAACCACCCAGGCGCCCTCTGACTCTCTTTTTAAATGAAAATGTACAAGAGCAGACTGAGCTCATTCCCATTTTAAATAATGCCCATGTTACTTGACATAAGTGTTTTTTTTAGTGCATTTTTATTCTTTATTTAAGGGTCATTATTATTTGATAGATTGAGAGCAGAAGTTAGAAGTAAGGCCTAAACCCCAGTTGTATAAGTTTCATCTAAAATGAAACTAAGCCCACAGAGAGATTTAATTTGTAAAACTCAATTTTCCATAATAAAATTTTAATGAACACTTCCAAGGGGGGAAATATACATGTCCTACCTAGGTACAAAAGATAGGCAAAAAGAATGACTTACATGAAGATAAAGCACATATGTGGCAATAGGAAATTGTGATAAAAATCAAGTGGTATATGTCTTCTGAGTTTATTCTCAGATCAGCATACCATTCTGTTGAAAGCTCAGTGAAATATATGTACTTTAAAATGCCTGTTTATTTACATGGTGTTGATCATACATTCAGTATATGCTGTTTCTTTCATAGCAGAATTACCTAATTCTAGAAGAAAGGAAATTGAAGCCATTCATACAATCTTAAGATCAGAGGTAAGGAAAATTAAAGACTATTATTGAACTTAAGATTTTTTTTCTTTTTTGAAGGCATGACAGTAACTTACACTGTTTTTCAGTTCTCTCTTTCTACTGCAGTGCTTGCCAGTTTTGTATCTTCCCCTTTATCCCAGTTCTTTTTCAGTGTTATCATCATCTTTTAGATGAAGAATATATTTACATGTTATTCCACTTTGCTGTTTAACATTCCCATCATCTTTTACATGCTGGAAGTCGGAAGATGCCTAGTGTAGAAATACTGGTGGCAACAATTTATCAAGGAATTACCGTGTTCTGACAGTGTGCTCAATTGCAGTAGTACATTTATTGAAGTGTAATATGAAGAATGCAATTCTATTTAGTCTAGACCTTTTTAATCTGCTAACATGAAAAAAAGTGATATTTGTACACAAAGAAGTAAAGAGTATAGGTATAACTAATTTTACCATTTATTTCCCGGTTGTTAGTGCCTCGTGGTGACTACCTCTGGACATTGTACTTAATGGGGATGAGGAAAACTTGGGAAAGGCTCAAAGGAAAGCTGTAAAGAAAATGAAATGATTTAAAATGGGATCTACTGTAAAGTACTGATGACACTCAACTATTTAGCCTATGGATAAGAACAATGAGGGAACACTTAATATTTCATTAAAATATATTTTTAGGGGACTGTGATAAGCATGTTTTCCTCTTTGCTGAGCCCATCAACAGAGAAAATTGAATTTAAAATACCAGAAAATATTTACTGACAAGCATTATTGAACTCTGGCCCAGATTACTAAGGTGGTTGTAGAGGGACCTCTCAAGAGGAATTGTGATGGTATTCTGTCTCAATTCTAGATGGCAGTTTGGTGACACTTGAGGCGTTAGGTGTAATTACCTAATAAGTAGATGCCTCGGTGACAGATGAACTTAATACTTCTTTCTTTGTACGGCTGAGAGAGAAAATTTTTCCTGTAATCCCTAAGAAATCCTTGAGAAGGCACTCATTAATTAGTACAGGCCCATCCAGAAAAATTAAATGGCAGAGATGTGTGTAGTGGCATTAATTTAGGTAAATTCGCCAGTGTCCATTTGGGGGAAAAAAAATAAATAGGGTGAACCTGCTTAGTGAATGTCTGCTCTCTATTGAGCTTGAGAGGGGAGAGAGAACTCTTCTGTCCCACTGTTGATCTCACTTCAGATCTCTCATGGGCGGTTAATGAAAGCATGATTCTAGTGTTTAGAAATATTTTTGGTATGCATCCCCAAATGAAAGCAACCTTCCTCATTTGATGCTTATTCACAGTAGCTTGAGCTACTCACATGCTAGAAGAAAAGAGACTGTTGGATTATCCAAGGGCTTTGTTTTCTAAGGTGAGTGATTCTTGCTGTGTGTCAGCACAAAAACACTTCATACCCTCACCCCATACATGACTATGTAATAAGGGAATAAGGTGAAGCTATGATTAAAGCCATCAGGAAACTAAAAAATATAAAATTCTATTTAGAAAGTCTTTAGATTTTATTTGTTTATTTTAGAGAAAGAAAGAGTGTGAGTGGAGGAGGGGCAGAGGGAGAGGGAGAGAGAATCTCAAACAGGCTCCAAGCTGTGGGGCTCAATCCCTCAACCCTGAGATCATGACCTGAGCCAAAACCAAGAGTTGGATGCTTAACCAACTGAGCCACCCAGGCAGCCCTAAATAGAAAGTTTTAGTATAGACAGAGGGCATTGTGTTTTCCAGAGGAAATTAGATTTGCTTACAGACATTAATATTTGAAGCTGACTGAGTTAGTTAGGTTTCTTCCATTTAACCCTCTATGCCAAGAAAAAGTCTCATCACATTTACCATCTGGATCCAGTGAACTCTTAAATTTTTTTTTCTTAAGATTTTATTTATTTGACAGAGAGAGACACAGTGAGAGAGGGAACACAGGCAGGGGGAGTAGGAGAGAGAGAAGCAGGCTTCCCGCCGAGCAGGGAGCCCGATGCGGGGCTCAATCCCAGGACCCTGGGATCATGACCTGAGCCGAAGGAGACGCTTAACAACTGAGGCACCCAGGTGCCCCCAATTTTTTTATATTAAATCATTTTGTAAGTAATTTACAGAAGTAGGAGTAAAATGATAGTGAAAAACTTTATTAGAAATTTTAATAAGAACTTATTTATGGCGGGGCGCCAGGGTGGCTCAATCGGTTGAATAGCTGCCTTTGGCTCAGGTCATGATCCTGGAGTCCCGGGATCGAGCCCCACATCGGGCTCCCTGATCAGCGGGGAGTCTGCTTCTCCCTCTGCTCCTCACCCCACTCTTGTCTTCTCTCATTGTCTCTCTCAAAAAAATAATCTTAAAAAAAAAAAAAGGGCTTATTTATGGCAAGTCTATATTTTTATTCCATATATTTCTGGTTTTGAAAACATATATACTCAAAATAGACAGTGTTCTTTGCAGTTAACTGCTTTTTAACTCTTATGCATGAACTGAAATGCATGTTATTTTGTTAAATACTGATTCCAAATTTCAGTTACATCTGTAATAGGTTTCAGCTGATCTTGACTTTGGTTTTTCTCATGTCACTAAAACCAGTATTTTTGAAAACTTTGATGGCTTATGATTTTGTTGAAAAGACGATGACTGTCATCTTTGCTCCATAATTACAAAGCCAACTTATAAATATCAATTAGATTTACAAATACCAATTAGATATATAAATACCAGTTAGAATGATCAGTCCACTGAATTTTTTTCACTTTATGTCATCTTTTTTTCCCAGTCACCTTTGTATACACACCTGCCTACAGCATTTGTCCACGTTTGAACTATATCAAGTAATTGTTGGTGTTCAAGTATCATATATGGTAAAAGAATACCGTCACAAAGCCATTTAGCAAAGTGGGATGGCTCAGGGCCTTGTCACAAAATACTGTGAGGTAAAATCTTTTCCTGTTGAATGACTAACTTGATGAGAACACCATATTTCTTTTTTGTTCTTAGAAATATATTGTTCACTCATTAATTTTGGAGTTTGAGAAAATTCCTCTAGGGTATTTTTACTTCCAGACTTGGCTGGGATTTTTGCCTCTGCAGCCTGTTCACCACAACCATCAGACTCTGGATGTTGTTTTTTGTCTCTTCACATTTGTCTTCTAAGTTGTCTTAATAACTGTGAAATGTTTTCCTCTGTCGGTTTTCTTTTCTTTATGGAAACAAAAGTTCTGAATTTTCTTGTGTTCCCTGAAAGCAAAAAACAATAAAACCAAAAAGACGCTACTTAGGTGGGTGTCTCTAGCTTTTTCCTTTTTAAAAGGTGGTACAGTACTTTGCGCACTGCAGTCAGAAAACCGGTTATTTCACTATTGCGTCATTCTTCTGAGTGATTCTGTCAGGCTTCTGTTTTCTTATTATATAAGACTTTTTTTTAACCTACTTGAGAATAATTGGTGAATAATGATAAAATAATTTTTAGGATGATAAAATATCAAAATGTTTCAAAGACAGAAAAACAAGGTCATTATAACCTCGTGAATATTCTTAGATTTATAAAGGGCTCAATGACCTTTTATAGTAATTGCAAGATAGAATGAGTTTTATTTTATTTTATTATTTATTTATTTTGAAGATTTTATTTTGAAGTAATCTCTGCTCCCAATGTGGGGCTCGAACCCACAACCTCGAGATCAAGTTGCACGCTCCACCAACTGAGCCAGCCAGGCGCTCCGAGTTTTATTTTATTTAAAAAATAAGTAATTTTTCTTTGTTTGTTAGAAGACGTCTAAGAAAGAATAAAAGTCTTAAGTATCTGTCCTTACAGATAGTTAGGACTGCTCAAAAAAGAAACTCAGAAAGTAAAGTTGGTTCCAGTAGACCTTGATGGTATAACAGGGGTTGAGCATGATGGAATAATATAAGGATATGAGAATCTCATGGATTTCATGAGCAGAAATCATAACCAGATTTTAAAAAGGGGATGCAAGCAAAACTTCAGACCACCAGGGATTTCTCTCTCATTTTTACTCCTCTGTTCTTTATGTGTGTTTATTCGTTTTCCTTTCACATCAGACAAGCCCTCCTAGTTCTATATTCCATAAAATAGAAAATACGGCCACTGACAAGTAATGTCTAGATCAGCCACGTGAAGAGAATCTGTCCTTCATGTACTTTGTTAACTGTGACTCTCACATGGCTAGGGAGGTGAGGGCAGACAAGCAATTAGTTATTGGCCAAATTGGAAGTTTTCAAGTTCTAGTTATTAACCAGAGTTCAACAAATAGCCTTAGTTATTTTTATCTGAAAAAGCCTAGAGTGGGCTTTTATGACTGGGTTTTGACTTCACTATATCGTGTTGCTTCAGTTATGTTTGGTGTTTTTCATGTTAAAAGTTCACAGAAAGTCATGCAGAAGCCACCAGAAGAATAGAAGGTAATTAGTTGCGTGGGCCTGTGTCTTATTTCTATTTCTTCAAGATAACCAAAATCTGTATTAGATTTCTGGAGGCAGACTCCCAAACTAGGGTTTATGTTATTCCTTTGATTTTTCTCTGTGTATTTATATAATCTCCCTGAATCATAACTTTCACATCTGTTGATGTAAGAAATTCCTAGACTCTTTTTTTTTTTATTAAATTTTTTTTTTTTAATTTATTTATTAGAGAGAGAATGAGAGATAGAGAGCACAAGAGGGGAGAGGGTCAGAGGGAGAAGCAGACTCCCCGCTGAGCAGGGAGCCCGATGTGGGACTCAATCCCAGGACTCCAGGATCATGACCCGAGCCGAAGGCAGTCGCCTAACCAACTGAGCCACCCAGGCGCCCCAGAAATTCCTAGACTCTTAAGAAAACGGGTGATATTCTCAAAGTGAAAAAGGCTTTACCTTCTAGCAGGAACATTTTTCCCACCACATCTGTCACCTTTCTCTCAGTTTTCATTGTTAAATTGTGTTTGTAGATAAATTAGTGGGATTCTTAGTCTTACTAAGTTATCTGTGATAATTTGTAAATTCTTTTGCAAAAAGTTTTAGTGCCCATTTATTTTGCTCCATAATGTCCTTATTCATTGAAACTCAAGAAATGATAATAGGTTAAGGTAATTTAATATTTGAGTACATAGAATTTAAGTAAATTTTTTAAAGATTTATTTATTTGAGAGAGAGCGTGTGCGTACTAGCATGAGTGGGGGGAGGGGCAGAGGGAGAGAATCTTTCAAGCAGAATCCCCGCTGAGCAGGGAACCCAACACAGGGCTTGATCCCATGACCCATGAGATCATGACCTGA